GCAGGCCCCATGATGAACAAATCGGGGCCAGGACATTGACCGCGTTCTCGCGCTCTTGCATCACAGTGTGAAGACAAAGCCTGGGCAGGTACTAGCGTGGGCTTGGTTGGTCGGTGGCCTTTCTGGGGTTAAGTTGGTGTGATCGAGGAACAAAAAACCAGCTGCGCCCAAGTAGTCCATGGCTTTGCTGTCATACTCATAGTCAAAGCTTGCGCAAAAGAATCCCCTTTTGTGCCTTATAGCCAGGAGAGGTGGACTTGTTATATATATATATATTATGTTTGCATGTTTGGGTTTACCACCACTCTTTGGTTGTTGCGGCAGCTCCGGAGAACACTTCAAAGAAGTCAATTGGACCCCCTTGCTCCTTGAAGTCGCACCATGAGAGTAAGAGGACCTGAGCACGCAGTAGAAAGCCCTATCATGCTATTAGTCAAGAACAATGTCTGCATATGTATGTGCACGATGAGGTTCAGGCAGTAGCTATCAGAACCTAGGCGGCAGCGATCCGATCGATAATATATGTAGGGCTCATGCTTGAGCACACGCACAGGAAACATGTTTTTTGACAAGAAGCCTTGGGCGCCCCAAGCTGCATTAAATTTAGCACTGGTGCAGTCAGCGGCATGTCTATCCGAGAGTCTACTCACGAGCCAATATTTTCTTTGAAGGCCGCTATGAGTTGAACATGTGCCCATGGAACGCCACACGTACACGTGACATGTATGACTGATGCTGCGCAGGACGCGCGGGCTGGGCACCCTGAAGCTTGGCCCGGGCCCGCCAAGTTGGGCACCGCTTCATCTTCAGCCTGGCACTTGGCATGGCTTTGGCGGGCGTTGGGAAGGCCATCTGTGGTTAGATGGCGGTTGCAATGCAGTACATGTATGTTGTGCATATATAAGCACTCGAGATCAGCTTTTCACCAAAGCTTTGCCACACGGTATGGGAGGTTCCCTGCAACGCTTCCTAAGCAACGCAAGGTTCTATCTCTGCAAAGTGCATGCGGCCAAAGCATGACCTGTTAAAATGCATAGCTGGTTGATTGCATGGTGCATATCAAGTACTGATTGTCAGTACCCCCCACCAGCCACAGCTCATCAAGTAGTACTAGCTGGCATGTACTGGCCAATTTCAGTCAGTAGTCTTGTATGCCTCGGACATGACACACTGGCATGAATGATATATGAGTTTCAGAACGCACACATCTTTATAGGCAGCCAGGTTGCGGTGCGTCCAATCTCCTTACACTCTTCGGGCGAATAGCCATCAATCTTGGCCTGCTTCGCTGCGGCGTGATAGGCAGCGCTTTTCCTGGAAAGCTTCTTCTTGTGGGCGGCTGCGGCCGCGGCTTCATCAGAATCGGCATTGTCAGCGGCATGCCCACGCTTCTTCTTGCCAAGGTCTGCCTTCTTCTTGTTTTCTTTCGTCTTCCCTTGGCCTTTCCGAGGCTTGGGCGCTTTCTTGGCTTTGGCTGCCTTTTCTTTCACTGCGTTCTTCCCAGGCTTCTTTTTTGTTTTCTCCGCTGCAGCGGCGGTGTCTTTCTCTTGGTCTTCTTCGACTTCTTCTTTTTCTTCGATCTCATCATCCGATCTCATCATCCTCTGCAGGATCATTTGCAACTGCTGGACTCGAACGCTTTCGAGAGGATGCTTTCGCCTTTGCTTTTCCTTTTGGCTTCGCTTTTGGCGCTGCTTTGGCCTACCTTTCCCACGGCCATTGCCCTTATTTCCCTTCCCCCTGCCCCTGCCCTTCCCTTTGCCTTTCTTGGTGCTTGGCGGCAATTGCTCTTTTGGTGAGACGGGACCTATTGCTTCTAGACATTCTGGTGGCACCACGACTGGATGGGTGGACTTGGCGCTAGATGGTACCTCTTTCTCCTTCTTGCTGTCTCCTGTAGTCCTTTCTTCACTGGCTTCAGGCTTTTCCTTCTCCTTTTCATTCGATCGTCTCTCTTCATTGGATTCTTCCTTTGATTCTTCTTTTGACTTTCCCTCAGCCTCTGGTGTTACTCCTTCGCCAAGCCCGTCCCCCTTCTGGTCACCTGTGATGGCGACTTCTACAACTGGTACCTTTCTGGTCCCACTCCCTTCGCCGCCTTCCTCCTTGCCATTCCCCTCACCCCCCTTCTTTGCCACCATGCCCTCCTCCCCCGCTGCCTCCAGCCCAGCCTGAGGTTCCCCAGCCTTCTCCACTGAAGCAGCGCCACACTCCTTTCCGTTCGAGGTTTGGAGGTCGCGGATGTCTCCTCCGCCCCTCACTCCTTTCCCTTTCTCATCCTCCTCACCGATTGGGTTGGAGGCAGGCTTTGGAAGCAATGATGACTGCTTCACTTCTGCCGCGGAAGACTCCGTCAGTGACTCCGTCACTACCGGCTCCGGCTCTGGCCTCTTCATGTTTGGATCCTCTGCTCTCCCCTTCTCAATGTCAGGGGTGCGTGCCCAGATGCTACCCAAAGAGGCTGTGCGAGCGAAAGATTCGACTGATGCCGAACGGCGGAGGCCCAGCTCTGGTGACATAGGTTGCGTGTCCACATTGTCGATGCCTGATTTCATTCGCGCATGTGCATACGTACTCATGCATATGAAGGCGTGTCCAATCGTGTATGTAATGCAGCTAGTACTGATTTGTATCTAAGGTGTGGGCTGAGAGAGGATGAAGATGTGGAGGACTCCAGAAAGCGCTTCGTTTCCAGCAAACCATGCAGCTCATGCTGGAGTGTTTGAAGTTGCTGCAGCTGTTCTAATCGTTTCCTTTCAGCTTCAAGTGACTTGATATCCGAAGAACGCACACATGGAACAGCCTTCAAATCCCCCACGTCCACCGCAAAGGCCCCACATGAGACGCAATCAAAGCCGTCTGTACACTTCCGAAGTCGATGAAGATTTTGTTTTGAAGGCTGCTCCAACTTGTCGGGAGTGATAGTTGGTGGAGATGCACCTGCAAGGGCAATTGAAAGGTTTGTGTACCAATCATGGCCGGCGATCCAAACATGCTTTTGACATCTTTTGATTCTTTTGAACATTTTTTGAAATATCAAAACCTCGGGCAACTGGAGTTGTTATGGGCGATGGCCGGCTCAAAGATGGGTTCTGCCCCCCCAAACCTGGGCACATGAAACAAACAGAAGATATGCAGTAAGATCTCAGAAATCACACCGTGGTAAACCAAGAAACTGGTCATCGATCCAGATGGCAACTTCTGGGGAGCCTCCTTCGGCGCTGCAGGATCTTCACGAGGAGGTTGCGCTTCGCCTGATACCTGTGGGCACCGTGGCGCAAAGAAAGAGTGGGTCCAGGGTTTTGGGGATGGGCCACACATTCAGCTAGCCCTGCCTCATGTGTTAACTCTGGGTCATCGTCCAGAACTTCCTCCTCCGCCTCCTCCCAACCCTCACCTTCATCCTCACCCTCGCAGGCATCAATACCTGTGGCCGGCAGTGGCTGGAAGTCGACGTACATATATTGAGGTCTCTTATATATAGGTCTGTCTACATCGGTAGGGAGATATGTTTAAGCATGAACTGCACGTGGTACCTGGTAATCTTCAACATTTGCAACTTAGTACCAGCCCTGTGATGTCAAGTTACCCTCTGGCAAAGGAATGCCAGCTTGAACGTAGAGGCTTCTCATGGCAGCTTCTCTTGGGATGTGCGGGCGTTTGGCAGCACGTGAAAACTGTGTTACCAGGGTCCGCAAAGCCCACGCGTGCATCTTCACGGTCGCTCCTGGGCCGGATCATGATGGGACTCACCCTGACTTATGTTTTCAGTACTATGCACATGCAAGCTGCCACAACCTATACTAGGGCATTCGAGATTCCATCAACTGGTGGCTTGCCTCTGGGACGCACTCTCCAAAAAAAGTCATCGACCACCTTCACAATGTCTTGGATGCATGGTCTTGTGCCTAAGTCAGCTGAAGTGTTCTTTGCTACAAGTATATCTGTTTGATATCATGAATATTTAAATCATGTTAAATACTTCAACTGAAACAATGGCAGTATTGTAATTAAATATTTAAATGCAAGTTGCCAAGGTGTAGCAAAAGGGGTCCCAACAATTCGGCATTGTTGACGACGTCCCGGCGACAAAGTGGAGCATCTTGTTTTTTGTCGACGTAGTAAACCAGGTCACCATTTACCCCGAGCTGAACCAACCAAGGCATTTTCTCCCACTCAGTAGCGATTGCTGCTGCCATAGCTAGAGGGAACACTATCCAGGGAGAGCATCAAAAAAACGAGCAAAATGCTGCAGCAGCCACATGTAAAGCTGCTTGCAAGTTCCCACAAACACTGACCTCCCGATCGTTGCTGGTCCGGCCTCCTTGTTCTCCCCTACAAAGAGGTTTGCACACCTGCAGGCACTCACGACGATGGTGGTGTGCATGTGCATCTTAACTGTTGATTTGTTGATGTGGTCATGGCTGAATGTTTGCAATAGCTACCCGGCCTCCTTCCCAAAGTCAGCACCGACGGTCCATGCCAGCCTGCCGGAAGCTGAGGCAGTGGTGCCAGAGGAAGCAGTGCACTCACAGCGTGCACAACAACCTGCCTGGGAAGGGTCCCCGAAGATGATGGGAAAGCCAAAATGGCTGAGAGGCAAAGACCGCATGTTAAAATATGAATTCTGCTCGTTTTCGTGAAAACCGCATGTTTCGCTCTGACATCGATTTATGCTACAAATCTCAGCGGGATGTTTTTTTTATGTTACGTTTGGTGGTGCTGGAAGCCAGGTGTCCAACCTTGGATGCCTGGCTGCCAGGCTATTCTAGAGCATCCAAGGGGTCCATATACCTGTCTTGCATCATGTTGCACCGCGGACCTGCCAGTGCAGGGGATCAGATCGACGCTGGCCGTGTAGTCTGGGTGCAGGCTGGGAGGTGCAAATCTGGGGCGGCGGAAGTCTCCCAGTCTTGGACTTTTAGAGCCTTCTGCATATCCTTCCCTCCTATATGTTGATCCACCTTTCGAACCTTTTCAAGGACTCCGAAACAAGACACGGATCTTCAGCGCCCAGGCGGCTAAAGCGCCGGCCAGCAGCCCGCACCTGGCTACAAACTCAGCTTGTAACATGCAGAATAAACACCTGGACCTGTGGACGTGGAGACCAGGCTGGACCCAGGCTGGCCATTTCCGAAGCATGACAGATGATACTCTGGCTGCTCCACTCACTTTTCGAGTATCTTGGGAGTTTACATGCATCAATCGATTCGGTTTCAGGGCACAAGCTGGAGCATGGCGAACACCTTCAAAAAGAGTCATGAGTCTTTGGGATCCGATGTGCATAATTAGTAATAACGAGATTTAACAAGGTGCCTTACTACTAGTAACAATGAAGCTACTGGTAGCTAAGGGCATCGCTACTAGTAACAAGGACGGCCACTAGTGCTCCAGTCCCCCACTTTGAGAAAAAAACGTGTGGCGAAAGCAGGGGGTTGAAGATGTGTGAAAAGAAACAGATCAGTTCATGCTTGTCACTCCTGATATCCACCGTCGTGCGTGGACTCATACGTTTGGGGGGTTGCTGCCCAAGGCGCACGACGGTGCAAAGGCAGCCCAGAGTCAGTGGCCATATTGCAACCAACTCCTTCAATGTAATCAATGGAGGCACCTCGCGGGTCGAGCCACAGGTGGGAAATTCTAAAAGTGCTGGAGTGGGCGAAAAGTGCCTTGCGAAACATGAGTGCCCCCTCCCTGAAATGAACATGAATATGCGTGCTAGAGATACGAGAGTATTTGGTGGGTATATGCTGGCAAATATCCCACCAAACCATGCTGCCCGCAACACTTCTAGCAAACTCCATGAATCTGCATGACCGCTGAACGGTGTGTGGAATAGCAACAGCTTCTATTCCAAGCAGACCTTTCTCTCCGAAGGCCCATTGAAGCCCAAAGCGCACCTTCCTCAAGATAAGGCAAGGCATGCACACGGATGAAACAAACCTCGGCTCGCTCACAAACCCCGCCGTGGTGCCAAATGCTGACTTCAATCAACTTCATGAGTTAGGCAGAAAAAGCGAGCAGCTGAAGCACCTAGAGCTTTGGAGCACCCATAAGCGTGTTGTCCCAATATGTCGCGGAAGCCCTACCATGCAGGTGGGTATGTCAGAATTCCCCAACAAATGCATTGCAAATTCCAAGAGCACAGGAAACTGTTCGCATGACCTTGCCGAATTGATCAAATGGACAATTCGAATTCAACGGATTGAACAGCATGATGCCCTCAGCACATCATGATGAAGGTGCTATTTCCACGTTAAATATAGTGTTTATGGTGTCATATATACTATATATTCACTATTCTATACTATATACTTCATACCCTCCTCCAGATTAACATGGACTCTCAAAACTACTCGGCTGTCGAGGACAATGGTCTTCCACGGCGTAGTTGGGGTCCATGTTAGTCTGCAGGGGGGTAGTACTTCAAGATATCAAAACTATTCAAAACTAATCCGTTTCCTCCATGTGCTGCCTGCTCCGCACGCTTCCACCTGTCATTGCCAGGAGTCTTGTCCAGGAATTTCTCGGAGGTCTCATCCAAGATTCCTGGAGAAGAACGCAAGGACAGTGGGAACCTACGTGGGAACTACTGTAGAATAGTTTGGCTAAATATGATTAAATCATTCCCGCCAACAAAATACGCAGTTGTATCCAGTTGTTGCACAAGGACTCACCTTCCATTTGGGGCCTCACCCCAGGTCCGAACCCCTCCGAGCTGCCTTCGTTTTCCACCAAGCACTGCCAACACGGGTAGCCCGGTAGCCCGCTTAGAATCACTCAATGTGCACAGCTGAAGCAAACGGATTTGGCACCAGTGACCCCCTTAAGGTCGGTATATGGACCATCATCCCTCCCCATCCAAACACACTGTGTTCTTATAGATGTGTTCTTTATAATATGGATCCCCATCTACGCAGAAACCAGTGTAGCCCATTTTAACCAACAGAAGACCAGTGCTCAGAGTTCCTCAGAGTTCCGCGTTTTCCCCCTGCTTGCCCGTGAATTTGATAACGATTGGACGGGCACACATGCAAATAACAAAAAACAAGTGGCAAACAAATTAAACGGATACAACATGACACACACAGAGATTGACATCTTGCTTATCAGTCTTATCCTCTTCAACGATGTTTAAACATCTCTACACAGGGTTTCCGTTACGTGAAAAGTTCAGCCAAGCCCCGCTGGGTTTAAATTCACTGCCCAAGCAACCTTGCCGCCGGGCATAAACGCCACAGGCGGCGCAGCAAGCGACGGTGGCCACAGACTTCAGGGCGCAAGCACACAGCGAGGCAACCGACTCCATCAGCGGTTTGTGGAGAGGCGCGACGGTGACGCGACTAATCCACACAGCGGCAGGTTGAACAGGGGATATGGCGATATGGTCTGAGGATGTCTGGGGCCGGTCTTGTGAAGCTGCAATCGTGGATGGTAGCCCAAACAGATTGAACAGTTTGTGGGTCAATGCATGAAAGTCCCAGGATGTGGTCACCGAAGCAAGGTTTTTTGTGACGGGACGAAGATGACGAAGAACGGACGAAGATGACATCTAATGACTTCTCCACAAAAAGTATCATTGAGGGTTTAGCAAGGAGCAAAGTTGGGTGGCACGTGTTGTTTTGATCTTTCTTAGAGAGTCTCCATGCTGGGTCTTTGAATTATTTCATCTAAAAAAATGTAGCCATCTAGGAGAGCTCGGTCCCATCTCAATTGCTGAGCCATTCTGAGCTTGATCTGTTCCTATCTGCAGATTCCATTGTCTCGTGTCCAGCAAAGCATCTGTCGGTGTACTCAGCTGACCCGAAAATAAAATGCATGAAACAATGGTCGCGCATCATGCGATGCACAAATGAACTGGCCAGCACCGGCTGGATCAGTCCAGAATCCTTTTCTACGTCGGAGTCCTCCAGCAAAGCATACACTCAAATGGATGCCAACCAGGCAAAGGACAAATGACGACGGAGTTTTGAAGGGAAAACAAAGGTGCCGCCCAATCAGCAAAGAGGCTAAGAAGGGCTAACTCAAAAAGTCGTCCCATTCGGTATCTCGGTGTGTGCAACAGGAAGAGGAAATTGACTTAATATAGCTCTTTGAGTTAGGGTTTCTGAGGTGTTCCCACTTCTGTCCACCACCGTGCCACAGCACATCTAGATGCAGTCTTTGCACAAATACTGAAAAAACAGCTGTTGGCTGGATCACACCTCAAAAAGGAAGATCCGCCCCAAAAGCAATACGTAGATTTCTTCCATCTTCTTCCTACTGTTTGCGCAGTATTCTTAGATCAGGAAGACCCCGCCCGTCGAAGGTGGATCTGCCGTCGGATGAGACAGGAAGACGGACCCGCCGTTCCCCATCGACGTCGCCCCCGCGCGCGCCTGGGAACTGTTTCCTGACGAAGCAGCGACGGTTGGAAGATGTTGATGGGAAGTGTACCCTATGCTGGCCGTTCTGCTCCACTAACATGCCTGGCATTTCTCAATGAATTGGACATCATTGGACCGAAGAACACCATAGTTACAGTAGAATCCAGTGACAAAGTGAGGTGTCAGTAGAAACATGTAGAAACCGAAACCATCATACTGTGCAGGTCATGCTCTACAAAGGAACTTTTCTTGGCCATGGGGCAGAAATGGGCCGAATGCCCCTGGCAAACCAATCTGGTCCTAAACAACATGAGTTCACCCGCAACGATGCTGGCCACAAGCGCACCTCACTTAAGGAAGGCACATTACAGGAATGAGGTAGGCAGTCGACATCCTTGTGAATTACAGGATCAAGCTCGTTTGCAGGAGACCGCTACCGCTACAATCACCAACGTCCATGCGTCATGCGTATGCCAGGCAAACCTCGCAGCGCAGCGCCCAAACCCAAATTGGACTGGAGTCCAAGAATTACACAAAATGATGTGATGTAGTTGTTGCTGATCAATTGAACCCGATAAAGCCCCACATCTCCAGGATGGTTGTACATCGGAGACTCCAATTCTCTTCGTCACGCTGGGCTTTATCAACAGCATGGCTCCTGTATGGCAAAACACCTGCATGCGTTGTCGCCCTTTCTCTCGCCACTGCAAGGCAAGAATTCATCGCCCTTTCTCTGGCCGCTTTCCTTAGTTCTACCGGCTGCTTGAGTTTTCAAGCCCCAAAGTCTCGGTATATATACATTTTCGTGATTGTGCCCATAAGGACCAATCAGCCTCCCGCATATTTATGCACAAACTATGTACAGCTACGATGCTACAGCCTAGTGGTTCGCTGTCAAAATCAAGCCAAAGGTGAAACTCCTGCATCTTCTTCGGATCCTTACACTCCCGAAAACCAACATGGACCCGGGTCGAATGGCACCCTTAAAGACTGTTTTCCTCTACAAACATCTACAAACCAGTGGTTTTCAGGGTCAGTTTGTTAGTTTTCAGTGGGGTAATCGTCATGATCGTGAGCAACTGCTACATAGCATCCCATATAGGGCCCATCACTGCTGAAACCTGCCTCGAAGCCAAATCGAAAGTTCCAGCACTCCAGTTCCAGGTAGGGTCCTGAGTAAACATCAGTTGTCCCACATCCTTGAAGCTCGGTGCCAGCGCACACGCCAGCATTCACAGGGCCATAGCTCTCCTCCCAGTACTGTTCGGTGTATGACATCACACCACTGTGTGTAGGATTCACACTCCAATGGCCCTGTGCACCCGTCTCCCTGCCATCCGTGGCATGAACGCTCCAGGTATTGATCTTGGAACTCACCCACCGCAGCAGTGGGCGGTGAGCCTGGCTGGGTGTCCGAGCGCCACTCAACGCTCCACCCAGCGTCCAGGGCGCTGAACACGGTGTGAGCAGTGCAAGGGCCCCAAGGGCCAATGGCAAGGCTCCGAACCTGCAACGGAGTGGATCCACTGAGATCTGGGATGTGCGACTGATTGGTTGCAGTTCCACCTGTAGCATCCGAAGAGTTGGCAGTTCGTAACTGAAAACGTATAAAAGCAAACAGATTGTTGTGAGTTTGACATGCACAAGCAATCAAATGCCACGAGAAAACCACGATGTGTTTGCAATAGATGAGTTTTCACATCTTTTTCCAAGCAGTTCATCCAAAGATTATTGTCTTTTTCGATGCTCAAACCACCGTGGCGTCGCCTGCAGTTCTGACTTTACCAAGCGACGGCTCATGGTTGTTCCGTATGCAAGCACGACTGTCCCACCAACACCTGCATATACCTTAAAAGTCCAAAAAGACGATACATCTCCTTTCAGGTACCCCTAGTCAGACCATTCTTTTTATACTCGACTGGACTCCCAGGGTATATTTAATATGTTATATTCTATTGTTTCCCTTTTTGCGATCCAAAATTATTGGAGCCACAGCGTGTCTGTTCAATTTGCCCGCCTGGAAGCACGTGGGAAGACCGCCGCGGGCATGGCGGGAGATCGGAAGCTTCTTGAGCCATTACGACCGCCATGGTGGGCCAAGATGGTCCTCTTTAGAAGGATGTTTCGGCAAATCTCACCTTGAGGATGATTGCTTGATGCATGTTGATGCTGAATGTGCAGGGCGATTCTTGGGTGATTCTTGAGACTGGTGGTGAGTTTGAGTGGCGCCAAATAACAGGATCAACACATGAACAGGACATGCGTTGGGTCTGCGAATGATCGACAAGGAGCATCCCAAACCCAAAAGGGGGTCAAACCCAAAAGGGGGTCGACTGCAAGAGTCACCAGTCACCTATATGTGTATATATATTTGTATATAACTTCTTGGGGCACGCTATAAAACATTTCCAAATTTCCGGCCCCCCCCAAAAAAAACAACACCCTATAGATACACTTACCCTGCCCTATCCATGTTCGATTTATAGATTGGGGACCTGGAAAGCCAAAATATGCCAAAATATGAGAATCTTCCGCACCACGATTTCCAGCATGCGAATTCACCATCAACCAAACCGCCCTCACCAAGCAACCAAACCGCGCATCCCACGCGACCCTCCGGCCGTCCGAGCCTCAGAGTCGTCGGGCTCACCTTCTTCAGGCAAAGGCTCTAAGCCCAGCCTCGGTGATGCCCGGCCCCCGGGGAAGGGAAAGCAGGAGACCTGTAGTTCGGGCCAAGCACATGGAAACAACGGGCAAGCACATGCAAGTCCTGACTGGGGAAACCGTTTTCGGGAAAATCGAAGTTACACCTTTTCCACCTGTGCCTGTTCTTGCTTTGTGGGGAAACCAATCCCCAAGGTTGTCCACTAACTTGGTAGGCATACAATACTGGGCATGGGCCATTTCTGTTGAAGTCACACGTCTGGAAGAAAGGCTCAGCACTGGTCTGCACCAAAACATGACATGATCCCTTGAAAAAGATGCGCGCGCGCGCGGGCGTGTGGGCGGGCGGGCGTACGTGCGTGTGTGTGGTTTTGGTGTTTGTTTTACACCGGTGCAGCCAGCAGTTGTTGACCACTGCATCGACAAAGCAATGTGAGGGGCTTGAAACATGAATTTAGCTATTGGGATGACGAACCTGTGGTTTTGTGTCGAACCTTTTCGCTTGAACCACGCCATGTGTCTCTCACAGAACGGGCTCCTACAGTCGACCGGACGGCCCCCGAGCTCCCGGGCTTGCCAGTGAATGGCCGGCGCCTGGTGAATTACAGGTGGCGACATGCGACATGCCCGGTGTGGCATGGCAGCGGGGTCAGGGCCAAGGCAGTACACATGAATAATCTTCAACTTCGTCACTATATTCGTAGATGCGGTGATCATGGTTGGCATCTTCATCTCCAGGAAGTTGCTAGTTTTGAAGTCTTGCTTTTGACTGTTGTTGGATTTGGGATGATTTGAGCATTGTCAACCCTATAGGCACACCCAAATGCACACAAACGTTTTGAATTGCCTCTACCACGCTCTCAATCCTGAAGACCATCATAGACCATTGGCTCCACATCAGTAAGAAAATCACAACAATCTGAATTCCACCAACCCATACCCAAACACTCCATGGGACTGCCATATATGCATTGGGGTGGTTTGAGGGGTCAATGTAGGTATATATATGGCATACATGGAGTGTCTGGGCATACCAACCCTGAAGATTGATTCTTTGGCTCCAACAAAGCTAATCATTCACCCCGCTTGCGAGCAAGTGCATGCTAGGCCGGGTCCATGCAAAAGGACCAAGAAAGCTTGCATTAGAGAAAAACCCCCCGAAAGCCAAAAACACGAATTTGGCTTCAGATCGGGCCAGGGTCCACACATGTGGACTGGCAACCTGCAGGCAAATTGCACCTGCCGACCTGGGCTTCCTGTACCTTAAGTTGCTTGTTTCTCATCCTGCGACCAAATTGAACATGGAGCTGGTTGGTGGGGGCCAAAGTCTTCCACATCCGCACCCGGTCGCACCAAAGGCGCTGACCAGGCGCTCTCTGCAACCGTCCCCCAAAAACCACTTCGGGCAACACATGGTCCATCTTCGCCTGTGTTTCAACTCGTCATCTTTGTCCTCTTTCTTCTCCAGGATCTCATCGATGCCCTGGTGGCAACAAAGAAATGACCAATAGAAAAAGAACAAGACATGGCTGTCAGTCAAAACCCGTAGATGGTAGGTTGACCATGGCTGGTCGTCTATTCTGTTCATGCTTTCCGTGGGAAAAACAAGGTCTCCCCTTGCCATGACCGGCCGCCAGTTGGTCCAATCTCTTTCCGTCGTGGAATGCCTTCCTGTCTTGGAGATAGTCGGCAAATTGATCGTATTTGTACAGGACGGGTGGCCCAGGGTTCCACAAATTACTCAGTCACATTTTTTGCCAATCAACATGTGTATTATACCTTATATATTCAAATATGATGAACTCGCCTACGTAGGAACATCTAGGCACATACCATCCGCCTTCTCCACGAGAGAGCCGACGCCATCGCGCCCCCTTCGCCTGCAGGTTGCGCCCATGCTTCGCTGTCGGTCATTGGTCTGAATCCTGCTGCCCTACGCCCCTCTCATCAAATTCGCAAGTCGTGCCATAGCTCCATCAAACATCCCAAAATATCCAAAACATCTCATCCCAATAGCCTATCATCCCAAAGCCCAGATCCCAAAGCCACTTGGCTGCAACCATGTCCCAACGCCACTTCTCGGCTCCGGAGAAGGCCTTTACTCCGCCAACACCATGACTCTCGTCATTCTCATCACAAAAGAACTTGCTTTCATCGACCTTCCAATACATCATAGAAATATATAGAAATTGACAGACCACCGAGCAAAACCATCTTCCTAACCGCACTTTCATTGATTTGCACCAAAGAGCCTTCTTTTTGGCTTTCGGGGGGGGAACCCCCTGCCCCCTCCTTTCCATCCCTCGCCCCAAGCAGAACATCCCCGGTGAAATCACACCCGGACCGCCTCTCACTGGAGTTTTTCCCCGTCATCAACTCGCCCTGGACGTCGCCCACCGACCCACCGAGGCGAAAAACCGCCGCGCCGTGGCGGCCGGTGGGTGACTTTCGGGGAGGCGGGGTGAGGTGTGAGCACGTTTTTGAATCCAAGATTTAAAGCTATTAGTCTAAAAAGGACTGCAGTGAGAAAGGATACGTACAGTAGCTACCAAGTATTTATGCTAGACATGTCTGGGCAAATAAAAATACCACACTTCACCAAGCGACTTCGATTGACCTCTGCAAGTTCGATCTGACCCAAGTGGGTCAGAGCTCTGCGAGCCTATGCGATCGCCTCCCTGGCCCAAGGCCCGAACCATATCCCAAACACGACCTGTCTGACTGGCATATTTACCGATCAGTTGGGGAGGTTGAAATGGGGTCAATATGATTCAATCTTATGTAACTATGGCAGTCCCATGGAGTGTCTGGGCATTGTTTTACTCAAGGCTTTCAACACCAAACCAGTTGTACAAGTCCCTCCCATGTCTTGAAGTGGTCGAACGGAAGCCTAGGGCCTAGGGTTTTGCACCGAGGGTCAGTGAGTGACCAAGCGGAGCCGAAGGAGTGGGATGGTCCGCCCTGAAGAGGGCGGGTGGTCCGCCAGGGGACTCAGCAGGAAACAGTTATATGGATATACAGACCTGGACCTTCAAGGGGTATCCAATGGAGGTCCCTTAGTAGTGTAGGGGCTTCCATTGGTGACCCCTTTCAAGGTGCTGGGAATTGAATATGACGAATCTGATCAGGCTATTACTTGTTACATAGTGTTACCAACCTATCTTTCAATCACACAGAGAAGGAACACCTTGCTGCTCCTTTTTTCCCGCACAACTTGTTCAAGACAGGGATTCCTGAATCCATACGCACATGATCGGCTTTCAATCGATGTCTCAGAATATGTCTGTGCTGGAGATGTCTAGAGCCTATATATATATATGTTTAAAAATATATATAGATATGTCTGCATAATCAATATCAATTCTATCCATTCCAGCGCTGTTCGCCGGCCACATAGTATACATCCCCCACTGAACCCAGGGTCTATCAATGCTATGCACTTTTTGCTGCAGCGAAGCTCCACAAGCAACAAGGCTGCGAGAGGCACTCCACCTCTGCAGCCAGCAAGGTGAATCAGCCAAATCCGAGGGACAACAGGCCGTTCAAATCTTGGCAACCTACCCCACACGAACCATCACAAACCAGTGACCTCACACCCAACCAAACAACCCCCAAATGATTTGTGAACAACATTGAACAACACTTCTAATGCTCGTTGGATCCACAACGCCTTAGCGAACAAGCCACACCGTCAGGAGATGTGAGGGGAATGTTGAGTCATGGAGAGAAGCTTGTGTGAGAAGGACACATATGGACACCTTTTTGCCTCGCTTACATGCTTTCCCGCTGGACGGGCATGATGCCGCCCGCTGGAAGTTCTGAATTGTCCTCTCTGGCGCCAAGTGACTAGCTCCCTTCAACAGCTTTGAGCACTGTCCCAGGTGGTGGCACTACACATTGGCCTGTGGGGGCTAAGAAAACACCCCTTCTGAAGCAGGTCCCAGTGAATCAAACATCATCAAACATCATGCCACTTCTGTCAACATCCTTCAACTCGTAAACACGCTCAATTGATCTCAATATTTCAACTAGATCAGAAGCCGATATCATTTGAACAAATCCTTGGTTATCTCAAGCATTCCTCAGACTGGCAGGGCACCAACGGTGTGATCTTCGAATCTCCGGACCGCTGGCGCCGCTGGCCGCGCCTCCACGTCCTGCCTTTTCAGAAGGTCGCAGCCCACCGCATCTGCTGCCACCTCTGGTGCAGGATGGCCTCGGAAGATGGACGGGCAGTGAGCGAGGTGGTCCTACATGGTCCTACGTTACAACTCCACCAAAGCAAGGGACATTATATAGTGATCCCCCCTAACAAAAATGGAATCAAACACCTGTCCCATAGAAATCTGTTCCAAAAAACTTCCCCCAAGGGCAGCCAACAGGGAGACTCTTTGGCAACTGCGCGACCAAACCAAGTCCGCGAGGCGAACACAGGTCCAGATCCCAAACCCCCAGACTAGAAGCGGGAACCCATCCGCTACGCCGAAACGGGAAAAAACACCGCATCCAATCGTTGGAGCAGATCCAACGCTTTCCCTTCTAAATGTTTGGAGCAGATCCAACGCTTTCCCTTCTAAATGTTTGGAGCGGATCCAAGGCTTTCTTGAATTCATCTTTGTGACCCTGGGCCCTTGGGAAGACAGACTCGCCCTCCCAAGTTCCGCCCGAAAGCGCCCAAGTTCAGCCGCCCGCCGACTCGCCGTGCTGACCGGTCACAATTCTCACCAGAAAGGACGACCAAACCTAGAATCTTGAAGTGCTCCGCATAGGCCCGCAGCTCTGGGACCGACAACCTCACTCTGCTGGCCGTTTCGCCGAAAAAGCCGAAAGTCCACCTGAGAGGTGATCAACCTGACCCAGTCCTTGCCCGGACCCATGTCAACTCTTGATTGATTAATTACAAAAAACAAATCACCCATTTGGAGGGTAAGACCTCTTCCACCTCGGGGGGTTGAATGATAATCACAAGCCTACCTTGTGCCCCAAGCAGCTGAGGCCAGCTGCACAGTACCACCACTGGTGCGCCAGCGCCAGCGCCGCCCGACAGCACCTGTGGAAGACACCCGTGATGGAGGGGACCGAGTCATTCAGAAGCCAAGTCATTCAGAGTCATTCAGAGCACTTGTCGTACGCAGCTGGTGTTTTTGAACTGCCTCTCCACCCTTTTTGGGGTTCACCCGTGTGGGTGGGTGAGGAAGCAGGATGCACATGGAATGTACCAAAACCAATTCAAGGGCTGAGCAGTTGTGGAGCAAGGAGCCGACGTGTGAATTTCAAAGGTTCATCTTGGCTGCTCCATGGTGAAAACTGTGCTGAAAACCACTACCAGGCTGGCTAAATTGCGTGCTCATTGCTCATCTGCCCTTCCCACGTTCTTATATACCAAGAAAGTGTGCTTCCTGCTCACACTGAATCGCATGAATCAATGTTCATGATAATTCCATAATGCCATAGCCACCAAATGCCACCAGTGAACTGCCCCAAGAATGCTCAGGAGTGCCTGATCTTCCGATCTTTTTGGAGTATACTGATGATCTTCCTCTGCATTCACATCCCTCATCCGATCATCCCCTCCGACTGTGCCAAGTGGCTTTCTCGGGGCTCGCCTTCGTCGAAGACAGGAGAGGTGGTGAACCGATGAAAGCAACGAAGACGGGTTGGCTATGGCTATGAAGGGGACTTGCAAGAAGGATGAACTTGCACAGCAAAGTAGGGTTGCAAGCATCCGGGAATGAGCGAATATTTAAAGTTATATAATATATATAATATACTATGTAATACTACCAGCACCACGGAAGGGGTGGTTATTTGATGGAACATACATAGTCAGGGGTGTCCATAAACCACCCTTTTCCGTGGTCCTGGTAGTTACCATGTTACCATTTAACATCTTACATAACTATAGCACATGATTTCTATGGTAACATATCATACCTATCATATAGTCATACAACAAGCGCAATTATAGTGGTGCCAGCTATGCCAGCATCAAACTAACCTGTCATTTGCGTTCTCACCAAGTGTAACGTGCTAAATCCGCATCCTTGTTGCTGAACCCATCCGAGGTGTGTTCCGACGGTCATGACATGTGATCAACATTGAACTGCATGCAGGCATTCTTGTGCTGGCACTTGTTTTACTTTTTGCTTGCTTTTTACTTTTTTATGAATGCCTTGCGGCCTTGCAGGCGATCCCAGGTCTGTGAATTGCTTGAGGTTCTCTCTCCCAGCTTCGCCACCAACCTCCAATCCAACCTCGCCAAGGCACAAAGGCCAAGGAGCCGTCAGCCTCCTCACGAATGTGACTGTGCAGCTGTGGAAGGACCCACGGATCAACTTCACCTCATGCCGAACCGCGGTGCTGTTGCGTTTTTTTCTCCCCCGATTCACGAAACCACGATGCCCAACACCGCGCGCCCGGGCGTGGCGTAAACCCGCGCGGTTGTTGGGGTGTGGAATGGGATTGACGTCACGGAGCCGCTCCGGCGCCGTGACCAAGAGCTTCAGACCTCACACCGAAGAGAAAACAAAAACCATATCCATGGACAAAACTCGTCGGACAAAAACATGATTCCTATATACATCCTCTCCCCGGGCTCCAGCTGCCAAACTGCGAGACCATGCGATTTCGCACTTGGCGCATACAACTCACCCAGCTGAAACGCCTCCATCCGACAGCTCGTAGAAGTAGTCCACACAAATCACCTGGAGCTCAGCTGACTCACACTGACTCAGCAGGGTCCGCTCTAAAGACCGGGTGCCGAGCTCACTTGTCGCTTCGCTTCGTTTAGCGAATGAGGAATTGAGGGACCCCCATGATAGATACCTATCCATCCTATATCCTTGCTATAACCTTGCCAAGCACCAGTCTTTCTTAGCCGCTCTGGCTGCCATGAGAGTTGTCGCCCGATGAGTCACATCATTGGGAACCAAATCTATCGCGCTTTCGATGCCGAGATCGACACCTGCGACACCGGCGTTTCTTTTTCCCTCTCGGGTTCACGAAACATCTGGTGCCTTCTCCGTCTTCCCAAAACACCACCTGACGAGACGACGAGACGACCTTCACCTCTGGCCGGCGATCGGGGAAGACGGACCCCCGGCACCGGACGTGGAGCGGAGCCGGCGTTCGTTCTGCGACTTGAGAAGGAACATGAAAGAAGCTGTTTTAGTGGTCAAAATACTATACTAGTAGAACATCGTGACCATGTGACACCGGTCAAGAATAGTGATGAAAGAACCTACTATCAGAACTGAACAAGTAGTGGTCAAACCATCAGAATCAGTTATCGAACTATCTTGTGGTCAAACTATCAACTATTCTCGGGCCACGATCGAAACGGATGGTCCACAGCCCTCGACCAGGTTTCCGGGTGTTTGGCGGTGAAACTGCTCACGTGAGGGGGGGCCTGGAAGCGAGGACACAGCAACCATTCCAGCAATCCAGCTCCACCTGACAAGTCAGGAAATGTGCAGGTCAGAATGAGGCCATTCAAAAAAAAACAAATCATTTGTCTGTGGATTTTGCAGCAGTGGAATCTGGGAGGTTCATCAAATTATTGAAAGCTCTCTCTCTCTCTCGCCCCTCTCTCTCTCTCTCCCCCTCTCTCTCTCTCACTCACTCTCTCTCTCTCTCTCTATCTCTTTCTCTCTCTCTCTCTATCTCTCTCCATGCAATACCTATACTACCTATACAAATAGCTACTTGTGTGGCACATGGACATGGCCATCCTTGTGGGGGTCTCCTGCGATTCTCGGCGAACCGGCTAAGTGCTTAAGCCAGCTCCACTGGAGCTGCGCTGGAGCTTGATAGGTAATTACAGGATTCATGTAAAATCAACTCTTTGGTGATTCTTGGGGTCATGAACCCAGAGTGTTCTCACAAGAAATGTCACAACAAAGTCAATCAGAGTTCCCAGCTTCCCCCCCCAACCGCCGCGGATGACATCCGCCACGCGCGGCGGTCACAGCGGATGTCTCGGCCGAGCTGCTTCCAATGCTCAGCACAGACGAGCTGCTCGGTGCTTCGTCCAAGAGCTCGTGGAGGCAGCGGCCGAGTAAACCCATGGCCCCTGGGCCATGTCAATAGAAATCGTCGAGGGAAACACAGTGAGTCCGACCATCGCAACAGAAAAAACCGTCCGAAAAACACAGAATCCTAGAGCAAACGTGCTTCAAAAATGTGAAAAGTCGTTGGCCACAGTGTGTTCAATGCAAACGCCAGAAATTGATACAAATAGTCAATAGATAATGGCATGACGTCATGTAGATGCATTTGCCTCTATTAACCCCTTATTTCCCTCTAACTTAGCCAGTCTGCACATGAAGCGCCGTGTTCAGCAATATCTATTCTGCAAAGATCCACTCCTGGAAGTTATGGAAAACCCCTATAGGTTTTCCAGTGCATGTGCTTCACTCTTGACCCCACATCATGATCCAACCACTCCATGGCACTGAAAAAAAGCAAGTGCCTATTCCCTCTACCGCAGCGACTGGTCCGAGGACTGGTCCCATCTGCCGGGTCGTGTCAACGTCGCCGCACCGAGGCACCGATCTTGGGCACCAAACAGCAGTTCCCCAAGACCTGAGGCGCTCGGTGCTCGGTGCTCGGCGACCGGAGAAGCCGTGGTCGGTCGAGGCGGGAGGAGACGAGACGAGACGAGACGAGTCGTTCGATCCATGAGATGCAGGAGTTGAGTCTGCATCGATTTGAACATCATGGTTGATTGATTTGAGGGTGGGGTGAAACACTCACACAGTCGAGCCAGCTGAGCTTGTGAATGGATCTATTCAGGCCAGGCTCCTTGGTGGCTGAGCTCCGCAAAAGATGCGCCCGCTGGAGCAATACTGAAGATTACTAAGCCATCAGCCAAATGGGGATGATCTATCATAACCTATCAATGGGCGAGTATATACGTAGTGTTGATTGGAACATACTGGAACAGGTGTGTAGATATGCGTGGATCGTGGCGTCCTGGATCTTCAATTCGTTTCTGTTGGGGGCTCCTCGGCGAAGCATGGCTCCTTCGAAGCATGGCTCCTTTCTTCGCCCAGGTGCGCCGGGCTTAGGGGAGACCCATTCATAGGCCCAGTAGTGTAGCGGCAAGCGCGAGCAAAGGTCGTAGTAGTCCCCTTGCCTCCAGTTGACTTGGTTGTGACTCATGGATTGATCTCTGTCTAAACAAAAACTGAAGCTCAATCTTATATCTATCGTGCCTCTGTATCTCTATCATTCCCTGTCTAAAAGAAAACGCTGCTTGTCTGATATTTGTGCAGAATGTTCCATGATTTGTGCTACAATGTTGAATATAATAGGCTTGTCGGCTTGTCAACCTTCCCGATACAATGATTGCCGCACGACAACTCCATACAAATTGAACAAGCACTTTTCCTTAGGGCCTTAGGGTTTCTCTGCGACAAAAGCCTGAAAACACCCAAGCGACTCCATGTGCTGCATCTGATCAAAACACCCTAAATTAGGCCCCACCTGGCAGCCACCTGGCCACAAAAAAACATGAAGCTCCTGAATCATGCGCCGCAAGGTATCGGAACTTCACCTCTCTCTCTCTCCCCGTCCTGCATGGCCAAGGCGCGAGAGATCAGGATCACGCATGGCAAAGGCAATGGCCCTCTGGACGGCTTGCTCCTCCACCTGGCGTCGCTCTCGTCACCCTTCTCGTCACATAGATGTGTATTGGAATACGGAGACCCCCAAAAAGAACCCCCGGGAAGAAGGACTATAGACAAAGAACCGTAAAAAGAACCAGTGGTTGGGAGGTCTTCCATTCTGATACGCGCCAGGTATGGGAGGGAAGGCCAAGTTCAAAAAATCTCTGCTCATCCTCCCAACCTTCGTGCAAACAGTAGCCTGCCGAATGTAGAGAAACAACTGCGCTCTGACTCACTTGGCAATTTTGCCACCTCAGAAGACTTCGACCGTTTCCTCAAAGGTAGGGAACTATCAGGTCCATGAGTTTAGGTGTGTCAAAGTGTAGCTGCCTTATCTCACATGTTTATTATGCACTTCAGCGTCTTTCTGAGGCTCCTCCCCACATCTCCACTCCAGCCTCACTCTTCTCCCACTCCTCGCCCTCGCACTCGCGCTCCATGGCGACTTGGACATCGCGAGACGTTGGAACAGCCTTGCAAGAAATGATCTATATTAAGAAATATGTGAGAACTTATATATGTAGCCTTTAAAATAGTTTCAGAGTAGATGGCACAACCCCCAACATGTATTTTTTTAGATGGAGGTTCAGTTCATATAAACCACCTCTTGGGGTCTGGGCCATTTACTCTCAATCCCCTATACTTGGTTAGGCCCTAACCTATAAAAGCGGTCAGGATCTCTCAGATCACTTCCTCGAGCCTGTGAACTGCCACTGTTTTGGGGATGTTTTTGGTATACTCGTTCATGGACGATCTTGACAGGGCCTGCCCCTTCCCGGCCCCTATTCTGTATGGAAACAGTATATGTTTTGTATGATTCTGAATCCGACAAGTAGGGACAACAAGGATGTGGAGGAATGCAGCAGTTGTCGGATTCGGATTCAATCATTTCAAGGCTACGCGGAATGCGCCACCTTTGTACAACTCAGCTGGGTAGACATGTTGGCCTCTGGTCTAAGTCTCGATCTGCAAAACGCTTGCAGACTTGGACCTTTGGCCTAAGCCAGGCCGGATTGAGCGGCTGGTAGAACCAGAACCATGGTCTCGGGTGCGGAAAGCTGCTTGTCTACGTGCGTGTATGTGTTCCGTTGTGTCCCCCCAAATGCCAGAAGCTACCCCTCTGAGGGGCCATCGGCCATCATCTTCGACCGCCGCTTTCGTCTTAGCCACGCGGCCACGCCGTCGGTGCCTGGAAGCCGTTGCTGGATGCATTTTGACCTCAGTCGGGAACCAGCCTGACCGAACGGTGAAAACCATCCAAAACGATCAAACAAGGGTGGCTACAAGGGCCTAGATGACAACGGCAGCTGTGGGTGCAAAGAATCAAGTATATATGGAAGTTCATGTCAATGCAACTCAACTACAGCTTGTTCCAAATGAACTCCAGTGACCTGATTGCTGCAACCTGGCCCAACTGAGTGGCAAACTAATTGCGTTTGAAATGGTTTTCTGCAGGACATTGGCCTGGCTTCGGTCGAAGTCGTCGCGACCACCCGCAGTAGCGACGCCAAGGAGTCTGGAGAGAGAGGGGGAGTGGATCACCCCTGTCGGCTGAAGGAATAGCAAACCTGCTCTTTTAGAGTTGAAAGGTGCCGAAAGGTTTGCGCATACCTTTTCTGGGTGCCCTTCTCAAGAATCACCACCCTATCCATAGCAGCTATGGAGAGTGCAATTTTCTTCCCAAGGAGAGTGCAACCACCACCACAACAGGTAAAACAAGCACTGGCAAATGTCAGCAACACAAGAAAACCCAGACCATCAGCCGTGTATGGAATGTCATAGTCATAGTTATATGTTATAACTTATATGATCTTATATGCCTACATTGAGGCTGCAGGTTTCCCTACATTGACCCCATTTCAACCACCCCTATCTAGGTAAATCATGGGAGGTCTACAGTATGTTTAAAAGAATCTGATGGAGTGTCTGGGCCTAGGGGCTCCTGGCCTTGCTACTAGGAGCGATCGGACGCTACGAACGGGGCTCCTGGCCTTACTAAGAACAAGAAGCTATTAGCTTGTTGTTTCTACTAGCTTCTTGTTTCTACTAGTAAGGCACTTGTTACTAGCGATGCACTTGTTACTATAGACATCGGCTTGACACACTTCGATCCCATCGGTTCCATCGGACCAGCCTTGGCGCACTCCTCTTCGAGGCGCCGCTGTAGCTCTCGAGCCACGTTTTGAAGGCCTCGGGCACGGTCTGTGCCGGCGAGGCGTTGGCCCTGTCGGTCGACAGACAGGGGATGGGCTGGGTTCTGTGATGTTCTATGGGAGTTTATGAGTTGACACTGCTCAAACGCTGCAAAAATTGCATGTTTGGATTTCAATGGCCCCTTCTTCTCCATATGACAAATGCTTCTTACATCTTCTTGCAAACCTGGCCATGCCATCATCTTCCTCCCAGGCAAGCAGCCACCAACGCATGTATCATACATCCCCTATTCCATTGGCGCAACCAGGGTTGTCGATTTCTGTGCCTCTAGAATCTAGAACGTATTTTTTGCTCCTGAACTGGAACTACATAGTTGAAAAGTCGTGAGAGCAACACACCATTCAAATCCAAGAAGATTAAGAGGATCGAAACCAACTTAGGTCCCTCCACCTGGGGAGATTGGCACCCCCACTTTCCGCTCGAAGCCTGGATGCTGGACGTTTCAGGTGAAAGAAGGCCCACATGATGCTTCGCGTTCTTTACTTAAAGAGTACAAGATTGAACTTGTATGGCTCAAAGGCAGGCCAGTTCAGAGCTCAAACGCTGAAATTCCTCGTGCGTTGAGAGTCAGAAGTCCAGCATATCCGACCCAAATGGCCGGCCATTATATTGGGATTCAAGCGCTTGGTCTTCGCCATGCCGTAGAGTGTTGAAGAATAGTTAGAAAGTTATAAAGTATATACCTCCCTCAAAGCAACACTGTATAAGGATCGAAACGGGGTTGGGTAGTGAAGGGGTGATATATATATATATATGTATATATATATATGGTGATATCCTGTTTTCATGTGCCATGCTGAACAAAGTGCCCGATCCAGCCGCTGGTAGCTAGCCCTAGCTTACTCCTAGCTTTCGGGAACCAAACATATTTAACACTAACGTCTTGAAACGCACCTTGACATCTACGTCCTGAAGGTGCGCCTCCTGTGCTCACACGGCCTCGCCGGCCTCACGCGACTCCCCGCCTCTCTCTGTCTCGTGCCGCCTGAACAACGCGAGAACCGCGAACCGGCCATGCACGCCCCAGGAGTCGACGCAACGTCCCCATGAGTTAAAGGGAGTCGAACCCAGCCCAGGCTTTGAGTCGAATGAACCAGGAACGGTTTCAATCACGAAGATTTGGGCAGAAATCGGACTCCCATACAGGCATCAAAGGTTAAGCCAGTCAAAGTCATTCAAAGTCAACAGAATTCAACCAACTTCCCCTGGTCGCCCCCAAAGAAGCATTACACTCTTCATCACTTTTCTCACCCAGCCATGCACCCCCTCCCTAGGTCAATTGGGCGCCAAAACGATCCAAAGCGAGGGAAGGCAAGAAAGGCAAGGTCCGCGAGGTTGAGGATGACGAGGGTCACTGAGATGAGGAGTGGTTCGAAGAGGCCTACATTCAGCCAGTCACCATACGCAATATCATGCAAACCTCTGCTCTCCGGGGGTTGCACATCCAAAGGAGCCACCACCCCAGCATCCAAGTTCCCCACAGTCGCATCGTCCAACTGCTTCTTCAGCTGTGTGATGGCATTGCGTGCCTGAAGGGTAGGAGACCCAGACTGGACAGGGGAACGGTCAAAGGGTGAAATGGAGACGTCATAGGGTTCTGAATGTTTCAGGCCAATATCCAACATGTGTTTCCTGGTGACAACCGGTGTCCAGAAACCACCTTTTTTGAGGGTCTCCAAACAGCCTGGCCAGGAGGGTCCTGGTATAGTATATATACAGTATATATATATACACCTAGAACCTGAATGACCTCTATTTTGGACCACCAACCACCCAACATATGGCCTTTTCCTATCAAAACAGGGTTCAGTTTGGTTCCTGGTAGAGATTGGGGTTCCCCTCTGCCGCCCCCTGATCCGACCAAAGCTGCGAAACAGTGTGGTCGGTTTACTTAGTAATATACAGCAATGCATCAATTCCGTGCCCAAACAGAACCTTGATGCCCCTTTTGCACTCGAACAAATACATCCCCTCAAAAGCGCGAAGCACATACTACATGTTTGACAAACGGTCGGATTGCATAACTCACTTCCCTACTCTCTTCACAGGTATACAGCCCGCCCGATGCATCTTTTGTTGCCTTGGACAGTTGTTGCTGCAAGCGGGCGTTCTCCGATCGGAGGTCCTGGCGCGATTAATCTCGGGTGATGTGGCCTCCAAGTCCCCTCCATGTGGATTTGGCCTCCTGGAGATCCGGATCTGCTCTGGAACTTGGTTAGGAAACTGTCTTCTGTGTTAGGCGTTGGACTGTCCCCAATCTTGATTACCAAGAGCAGTCTCAAATTTCTTTTGGCTTTTGCACCAGCCACGCCTGCTTTTGCACCATGCATTTCAGGTGAAGGCACTGCATATAAGCACATCCGTCGTTTCATCGATGAGGCCTTCTGGAACAAACTTGGCAAGTCGAAAGCGCTCTTGGCAAGTTCCTAAAACTCTTCAGGGTCGGTTTGATAGACCATTTTGCTCCATTGGTCTCCCCCACCGGCACACCGCCCCCATTCATGTTCTGATCCTTTGCAGCATTTCCGAGTCCCAACAATGACTATATACACTACTAAACGCAGGCCCACGTGAAACAAGAACATGAGCAAAAATATGAGCAGCAACAACAACAATTACTACTACTACTACTGCTACTACTACTGCTGCTGCTGCTGCTGCCACACTACAACTAGTGCAACTGCAACTACAGCAGCAAATACAACAAACTACCAGGACCACTGCCGCTGCCTCTGCTGCTGCTACTAGTGCTCCTACTCCTACTCCTACTACTACTACTACTACGACTACTACGACTACTACTACTACTACGACTACGACTACAACTACGACTATATACGTATACTACCACGACGACTACTACGACTACGACTACGACTACGCTACGACTTCTACTACTACTAAAACAAAATAGTAATAATAGCAATACAACAACAACGACAACAACAACCACAACAACAACAACAACGACACCAACAACAACAACAACTACTACTACTGCTACTACTCCTGCTCCTGCTCCTGCTCCTACTGCTACTGCTACTGCCACCACGCCACCACTACCACTCATCGTGCCCCACTGCTTGGGTGGGTTTCGATACCTTCGCATGCGTGCGCGTCAAAAGAATGATCCAAATTCTTGGGGTATTGACCATCTCAAGCAACAACAAATCATGGCCGCTCGACCAGGAGAATCCCAGCGACTTCTCCACTCCGCACGAATGCAGGCACATTTTGGCACGATGCAGCTCTCGGACGGTCGCCCCTGAACCGCCGCTTCCCGGCGAAGTGGCGAGAACCGCCATAAGCGCGAAAACTGCTGTGTTCAGGTGGAAACCTGGCAGGAAATCAAATTCAGGTGATTCCTGAGATTACCACAGGTGACGCAGGTGATTCCAGGTGATTCAAAACAGCTCTTCTTGAGGTACGCTCGAAGCAGTAAGTCTCCCCGAAGATTCCCTGTTCATGAAAACCTGCAGGTCTGCAGCTGCATCTGTTGTAAAAGACAACAATTGTAATACATGAGCTTTAAGACTCATAAGACTCATAAGTGAAGAGAAACAAACGCTTTGATCGTTCAAATCAATCTATCTATCCATCCATCAATCTATCTATCCACGGATCAAACTGATCACATGTTTTTCTTCCTCGCCTATGACAGGTCCTTGAAATCGCTTTCGGCCGTGGGCAGTGCGTGCCATGCGCTGCGGCGAAGCGCTTGGCGGAAGGGCTCCTGGAGCCTGGGCAACGTGCGCCATGGAGGATAAATGGTGAGAGGGTCACAAGGCTTTCGGCTGGTAGGACAACACCCTGCGTGAACGGTGTGTGTTGAGAGCCTCTGAGAAAAAACATAGAAAAGCAATGAAAAACATACCAGTATCATATGAGTCATATGTAACAAACAATTGGACGGATGGAGGTTCAGAAGAAACCCATGAGAAACCATTGAACTGGGTTACATTGATAGGGGGTTCTGGTTAACTTGGTGGTGCTCGCCCACCCAAACAGGCCTTTCGATTGAGAGGTCGGATTAAAGATCTGGCGGTGGGTGGTCTCTATAGCTTTTGCAACTTTGGAAGAGGCATTCTGTGGATTTTGGTGGTGCATAAAGAAGGAAAAACTGTGAAAAAAACAGGATGTTAGTCTCTGATTCATACCCTCGAACACCCGTATACCGCTCCGGTTAGGCCAAAAGCACCGGACACCAAGGAGAGCCTTCTCTGTCTGCCTAAATCCGCACCAACCAAAAAGGGGTTACAAAAGAAGTTCTTTGTTCCAACAGCCCTCGTCCCCCTTCATGTTTATACAAACAGCGAAAAAAGGAAAAGATTCCCCTCATCAATGCTGCAGCAAGAGACTGAAAGGCTCTCTCTGTTGGAGACAACCTGTGCTCTTCCCTTCGCCACTGCCAGTGCTCTTCCTGGCGAAGGTTCTCTTCAACAAGGGTCAGTTGGCCCGTCGGTGGGTATGGAATAGGAATAGGAATGACACTTCCCGTCATATCTGACTGAGATCATATTAATACGCATTATATGGAATAGTATTGCTCGTGGGTCTTTACCCAAAAGCTATATTCCAACTTCAAATCAACTGAGCCCTTGGCATTCACAGGCCCAAATCGAAAAAAATATACTTTTTAAACCATATTTTGAGCTTTGATCTCACAACTTCAGTACTGAGGCAGACATGTTGCACACAACCCACAAGCCTGACGTCAAGTTCAATCCCGAACACACTTGCGTCCAAACCCAGGCACCTTGAAACCACTTCAACACCCCACTTGTTCCATTCATGTAGGACTAGCATGGAAAAACTGGGGGGTTGATGAATCACCAACCGTCTCAGCGCTGCCGTGCTCTGCCGATGTCCGTCACCCCTCATCCCGAACGCGCGTCCTGGTTGCGCAAGGCATCGCCACTCAGAAGCAGGAATTGGCGCCCCAGTCCCACGCTGTGCACGGCCAAGCGGAGCTCCCTGCCGCGCAGAAGAACGAAGCAGTGCTCCCACGAGGTTCCCACCGATGAGGACGAGGTGGAGGCGAAGGAGGCGAAGACGCTGAAGGTGGTCTTAGGCAAGTCCTGGATCCACCAAAAGCCGTCTTTGGGATGTCCTTCCGGATTTGAGATAATAGTTCTGCGATGGGCATATCAGATTTGGGGAATCCGAACAAAAGCAACATACATCCTGGTTGGGAAGATCATGAATTTCCCCCTCTAGATCCAGTAACATCGCTACAAGTATTAGGGTGGAGGCCACTGCTATTTAAAACATGTAAAACCAAAGAAAAATGAAAAGGAACAGATTTCCAATGATCCGTCTTCTTTCCCAAAGCCAAAGCAGTGGCGACAGGTGACTGTAAAATGAGGCTGTTGAGGAGGCCGGGCACCAAGGGTGTCCAGTACGTTCCCAGAAGACTTTGAGGGGAACGAGCACTTTATAACCTTGTTCGATCTTCTTTTTGGGGTGCGCACTGGGCACTCTGAAAAAGCAACATCTCAAAACGGGAGCTTCCTAATATAAATCAGAAGAATCCAAGCCAAAGCAGTAGTCCAAGATGGTCCAAGGTTCCAACTCGAGTCGCTTGTTCAGCTCCAAGATGTCAAAGGTCCGTATCAGCTCCACCACCCGCATCGCTGCTTCCTCCACGCCCGGCAGCTGCCGGGCGGCCCAGCAGGCAGTGGGACTGTTGCCTAAACATGTCGAGTGACACATAGCGACAACAAAGATACAATGATACCATATGATCGTGTGTAAATAGTTTGTGATGACATGTAACAGTCCTCCCATTGGCATTGATCTATTTAGAGACCTCTATGGGCTTTGAGCTTCATTGCAAAGCCAATTGCTCCCTATATCCCACTGCCATGTACCGACACTGATACCGCCGAGCCGATACCCCTCAAGACTTTTGCTTTGAGCCCTACAGTGCTGGCTCCAAAATGATCTTTTAGGATTGGCGGCCCAACCTTCCAATGGACCTGTGATTAAATTCATGTGATGAGACCTGGGTTACTGAGCAAAACATAGTAAAACAAATAATGAATTATATAATTCAATCATGTGAAGTCTATAGAATCTAGAACGAGTGACCTACAAAACCCAAAATCTAAAAAACATGTTCCCAACCAAAGTTCCTCTTAACCTTTGCCCCAGCCACCTGCTGTCTCGATCGACTGTGGCATCTCGGCCAACCTCATCTGCCCAGTGGTCTCCAGCAAAAATACATCCGCCCGCACAGGTATGGTGGGTGGCGCCCTCTGTGCAGCGCCCGAAGTCGGGGCGCCCACAGAAGCTAAGGAGGAAGCGCCTCGCCAAGCGCACCAACGACCGCGTCTATATCATTGGCTGGGGAGGGGCATAAATGGCATAGAACTCAAGGTCTGTGCCATCTGCATCCTTATTCTAGTGGTCAGTTGGTTGACAATTCCCTCTAGAAACTCTCCACATGTTCAATCTCCGTGACGGCCTCCGTGACGGCCGCAACAAGGGACCCAACGGTGGCGATCCCCAGGAATGGCCACCTACAAGCATGATAAGCATGTCACACTGCGAAAGCCTGAACCCAAAAAGAGTCAGAGGTGATGAAGTCTTCAAAGGTGAACTCCTCACCTGATTCACTGATTAGAGGTTCCTAGGGTAGGACCGGGTAGGAGGGCTCCTGGCCTCACTACTAGGAGCACAACTTCTGGCCTCGCCGGTCCCAAGAACTGAACCCGGACACTGACTGCCCCGAACCGAAGGCCGCTCTACTGGACGCCACGAAGGGGGCCTTGAAGCCAGTGGCCCATCATCTCCTCCACGCCCCACAGCAAGCCCAGCCTGAGTCCGCCAGTCGGTTTCTTCAGCGGCAGCTCTATTTCAAAAACACCCAACTAACTCCTGGAGCATCTGGAGGATCGATTGATTAGATCAATTGTGCATGCTTACGGAAAGTCTATGAATTTCTCATTTTCGTATTGAGAGCTGCTGCTGACCAACGAGTTCAACATACTTTGCCGCCGCCCTATTAAAGAAATATTTGCATTTCACCACACCATCCGAACGGAAGGAGTGGGAAGCGTCCCATTTATTTTTAGACACCCTCGTCTTCCTCCAGGTCAAAGACCGAGGTGCTTGGTTCGATCTGGGAAGTGTTTGGATTGCAAGGAGTCCACCACCATGCTGTTCCAAAGCTCCAGCACGAAGTGATGACCTGGGACAGCTCCAAAATCTTTCAATGCAGACTCTTGATCAATAGCCCCATCCCAATCAAACCGAAAAGCCTCTTCCTATGGGGGGCCTAGATATCAAGAGTCTACATTAGTTGGGATCTCCAAGAATTCACTGTTTTTTGATGCTGTAAGTCGCACCCGTACAACGATGCCAGTTCAGGGCCTTGGGCATATATAAAGGTGGATAAAGCTGGTCAACATGATTCAAAAGCTGCGCTTTGCGTGGCCTGCCGCGCGGCCTATTTCCAAGACGGGTCATGGCCTACGATCTGTCCAACATATTCCAAAATCAATGTGGAAGTGGGGAATGCCACTGAGGAATGGACCAGCAACTTGGCCAGCCAATTGTCACGATGTTCTCGGTCCTTGTTAAATGAGGCTTCCAAACATTTAGCTCACTGAGGACCGTTGGCACACAGTTTGGACAACGCATGATGGAGTGGCGGCACACCATGTTGTACAAGACACACTTGGCATATCTTGGCATTCATGCCAAGAGCTCCCAGGAAGGTTTACTGCATCCGGGTTGCAATTGAACTCACTCAATGAGTATGGCCTCCGCGCCAAGCTCTTCGCTTCCTTCAGAGTATGGTTGAGGATTGGGATCAACATGGACCAAACAACAAATGTCCGACCAAACAATTCGCCAGCTCCCAAAGAACAACTGATAGCGGTATGACATGGGTACGCACCAGGACTGACAAACATTGACTAACTTAACTGCTGAAGTACTCTACTCAGGGACTGTCACTGTCAGTGACTAACAAGAATTCAGGGACTGTCACCGTCAGTGCTCTTTCTGGCCTAGCCATTCTAATCATAGCCATAGCCTTGGCGACCCTGATGAAACAAGTTGGAACCCTCGAACTTTTGTCCAAGAGCAGCACAAAACCCATGCCGAGGAAGCCACGCATTCACCGCACCTGTTCCCTTCAGTTTGCCCCATCTTTACCCCCTCCCCTTGTCTTTTCAACCCGCCCATCTCACCCGCCCGCAGCGTCCCGCCTCCCGCAGCGTCTCCGCCGTGAGCGCCCGCCGCAGCTCCGTCTCGCCCGCGCAGCGGCCGTCGTAGATGGTGCTGTCTGGGTCGAAGAAGCGTAGCCCCGCGGTGCCCGCACCGGGCGCGCTGACGGCTCGGGGGTCGAAGCATTGCCTGGGCTGAGGATGTGGAATGGGCATGTCACGGCATGTGCCCATTACCACGGCTGATTGAATGAGGGTTAGGTTCCAAACCATTTCACCATGTTATGAGAGATGTGGCAGTGAACTCATATGCCAGGTGATGGTGGATGAATGTGGATGATATGATGCTGAGCCCAACCAATATGTGCGATATGTGGTGAAAATCCTCCACGGCAATGGTGGATTAAATGGGACTCGCATTGAATTGGATCAATTATGATGGACCATGTACCGAAACTTGATGAGGACAAATCTCTTCATGATTCCACCCAACTCTCTTCATGACCTCTTCAACTCATGCACTTAGCCCATCTTAGCCCTAAACCACCATCAAGTATTCACATCTCCCACCCAGCTCTACCCCAACCCCATTCCGCTTCCTCAGCCTCAGTCACTCGGTGTAGCCTCTGTCTGCGTAGATCTCCATCCGCAAGCGGCGGTCATCCAACAAGCGGACTTCCAGCCAAGAATGCGAGGTCAATCCACGACTCTTCCTCAAAGAGACAAGTCGAGTGCACTGTTTTGAAAGTGAAGAGCCTCTTGTGATGGCTGTGCCCTCCTCCATCTACCTCTTAAGACGTATATTCAAATGCTCCAGATACCCAGTTCTGTCTCTCACGCGCGTTTTTCGTAGAGACAGACCTGCCGACCTCGGAGGCGAAAAACGAACGCCCTGGCGGTTCCGCAAGCAACTCTTCGTGCTGAGTGCGCTGGTGTGGACAGAACTGTTCGACTCCTGGTGTGACAGAACTGCTGGGTGGCAGGGGGGAGACCCGGAACTGGGTAGGTTGACCTGGAACTCACCGACCGGTTCATTCTCGACCTCAAGCGGTCGGCCCCCCCGGTTGTTTTACCCATTGCACACAGCCATTACATGCCCCTTACAAGTGTACACTGGCGGTTCCCAGCCTGCCCACTTGCGGACGATTCATCAACTGCTTGTTGTTTTTCCCCACTAGCGGTTCGGCCCTAGCCGGAGTGTCCCCCAGATCCTGGTCGGTAGGTGTGGCTCTGGGGGGAGCGCAACATGGTCTGGAACATCAAGAACGGACGGATGCGCGCCATGCAAGGCTCTCATGCCGCACTTTCCGCCATTCCACGTAGACCACGCGGCTTGGCTGGGACATCCAGTGGATATAATCCTCAACATGCTCGAAGCACCTGTCACTGACATAGCCCATCGTACGCTCATGGCGAATCATCGTACGCTCATGGCGAATTCCGGGAATCTCTGGGACTAAATTCGTTGATGCACACCCCGTGGTGGGACTAAACTAAAAATCCTCCTGCAGTGAAAAATAGTGAATACATACAGCTACCACGTCTTTGCGCTAATGATTCATCGCTGCTCAGATTCATCTCTCCATATCTCTTCATAGTTTAACCTATCCATCTCATTCTCTGGTCCTGTTTGACTGGGCCACATGCTAAAGCACAGCTCCTGGCGCTTCTGTGCTTTGTTTTCGGCCAAATGAACTCATTGAGCCCAAGCGGCCAAGCAAAGGCGTCCGGGGCCCGGCCGGGGCCGAGTCAGGCATGTCGGAGTCGCTGGTGGCTACGAACATCCCTCTCTCAAATGCTCGCTCTCTCTCTCTCTCTTACTTGCCTGTTGAAATGTCACTCTGTTGCTTTGGAACTGGCTTGATGAATTTGAATGCATGAGAAGTCTTGTTCGCCCAAACTGACTGGAGATATATTCCAGCGAACCCTGAGAGCTTTTTTTGCAGAGTTCTTCTCATCCAAGAATTAAAAAAAACATGTGAGTCTAGGACGTTCAGTCTGTCCGGCGTTGTCCTTCAATTGAAAAATCCTGAATCAATTAGTTGCACCATGTTGCTCCTACAGTACTGTTCGACCACGGGCCTTCTCAATGTCCACCTCGGTCTCCCACGGAAGTCATGGCCTCGCCACCCTCCCCCACGCTCGCCCCGACGCTCGCCCCCGCCGGCCCGTGCTGGTGGGTCCTCCCTCTCGGCTGCCTTGCGCTGAATCGCCCCCAGCTCGCGCTCCTCGCGGACGAAAGGTTGCGCGCTCCGCTCCTAAAGGGTGCGCGAAAGGGTGTCCAACGCATGGCTGCACTGTGCCGAGCATTTTCCACTGGATATGTAGTCCTTGGGGCGTCGAGAATACCAAGGGTCTAATTAAATCCTGCTAGGAGGCTGCCCTGTTTGATGGAGCTTTTGATCAACCACCGGAATCTTGATCCGCTCTTGTATTGCCTCACTGGCCCACTGGGTTTATATAAAGCATGATTTAAGCGATTCTTCCCGTGTACCGTTGCCCAAGGTGTGCTTTGCACTGCAGCAGGACAGCTGGGCGCTGCAGGGCTCAGGGCCCGGTGCGCCCGGTCTCGAAATACGCTTGGAAGGTGAGACCTGGAAGGTGGTTTGGAGACCTACAAGCCAAGGTGGTTTGTTTCTGTCTCTCATACTGCCAAAAACTCCAAACAGCCCTTGGTCTCTCAAAACCTATAGGGGTTTGAGACCTCAGGCATGCCAGACCCCTCTTCGGCGTCTGGCACTGCGAGAGTCCAAACCCGGCCATGGCCAAAGGATTGTCAGGGAGTGGAAAATCACGGAGGATCTTGACATATCTTGAGATCTGCTGAACGTGGAACCTGAATTGAAATAGTTGGCTGGAAATTATTCAATAGAGACACCCCATTGCTCCAACCAACCCTCACTGTTGTATCAACAGCCCGCGGCCTGGTGGTTCTCCCAGCTGGCGAGGTCGGAATCCCCATCCGCGGGTGATATGGTTGATGGAAGAGCTTACAAAATCAAACAGGTGCTTTTCTGGCCCAAACCTGAGCAAGTCGGGCGTTCAAAAAACGCCTGCTAAAGCCCTTGGGTCGGGTTGAAACCCTTGGGTCGGGACTAGCAGGTTTACACCCGTCAAACCTGGTGTCTTGGGTCTTAACAAGGTGAGAGACAAAGACCTTGGGTCACCTTGGTTTCACCTTTAACTTGGTTTCACCTTTAACAACTTAAGGTGACTATAGGTGGTTAACTGTGAGAGGGTCTTAACAACTTGGTAGCAGGTTTCACCTTGTTGTCTCTGTCTCTGTCCCTCTCAGGCCGTGACTAGCACGCTCGCCGGGGCCTCGGTCGACCGGTCGACGGACCGACCGCTCGGACCCATCGGTGCGTTCGATGGTCCGAACGTGGATGGCCATCGGACATGGCTCATGTCCATGAGGTCTTTACTATGCCTATACTTGTATCTTGGTTCAAGGGATTTGCTTAAGGAACCTAGACAAAACACAAGTATTCACCAGAAGGTTGAGGCAGTCATGGGATCCGTGCTCGAATTGTTTTTAGTTGAGTGCATCATCTTCAACACCATTTACAATATTAATAGAATCATGATGAATCATGTAGAATCTATGTAAGCACCAATTCTCCGGATTTCTCCGTAGAATTGGAACACCTCATAAAACCTCCAATTTATGAAACGGCATGAGACGGTGATATCATGGATTTGGCATCCAACCATGCGAAGCTAGGCATCAGCAAACCGCTCCTCGAGCGAAACCGCTTTCGATCAGGCTCCAGCGGTGACGCTTTGACTGGTGTCCCTCGGTGACGAGCGGGCGCATGTGGAGGAGAAGAGGTGCATGCAAAAAGACACTTGAAACGGTTTCCAGCTTTGCCTCAAGAGCGCTGTAGTTCCCCTGAGTTAGGGTGGGGCAGCCAATGATTGAAACTGCTTCCATACTCTCCATATCACATGCATTCACGATTGCTGGTAGGACTGGGTCACTGCCACTATTCACAGCAAGTGCTGTATGTCACGACCTTCTTGTAATAGACCGCCATGAGCACTTCAACTCTTCTGTCAAGATCTTCTTTGCACCAGCCCAAGCCACGATATCACCCCCCCAACAAAATACCGTGGTTGATCTCACCGCTACTTGGCCACATCGACTACATCATCAGTTGTACATCATTGTGTGCATCTACAGGTCGCTGCAGCATTCATCCTCCCGTAACAGCTCCACTCAGACTCAGGTCACCGCTGAGGCTGGGAGGCCTCAGCATAAGAGATCCACACATGGGCAGGGGATCTTCGAGCACACGGGTCTTTAGATGGCTGAAACGGGGATCCGGCTCATGGTCTTTCCTATTACCAGTAACAGTGACTCAGTGGATGATGCTTCATTTGCAGGCCATTCTCTAGATGTTTTCTTGTTGACCCACGGCTCTACACGGGACACACCCAACTTTGGCACATGCATGTGTCCCATGCTGTCCGGAGGTTCCATGACCTCGGAGTGGTCTCAAAGAGCCTCCGCTTCGTGTCCGACATGAACTGAGGACATGTCGCGATTCAGCTGAGACATGCGAAGTGAGCTTGGTAGGTCTGTTCTGTTGAGTAGTTACGTAACTGAGACAGAATCGATGTGATTTGTTTAATTGAATTGACTTATTATGTTAAACAGTTAAAACAGGTTAATCGCAATTGGATGGTTCAACATTCTGCTGCATATGTCGATGGCGTGTTTCGCCCCTTTTGGTTCACTTGTGCGTGGATCGCCGGCCTCGAATGGGTTCACGGGAGTTGTTGGACAAATCCCTCACTTGATGACATTGATGATCCTTTGGCCGAAGGGAGCCAGGGAGGACTTGCCTCTGCTGATCGGGCGTAGGCGTAGTAGATCAGGTCATCACTTCCCATGACTCGACCACAGGAGGCCCCCGGCCGGGACGCTCGCAGAGTAGCTGGATGGCACGCCGGAGTAGCCACTGCTGCTGGCGCTACGCCGCAGGGCCGACCTGGACGTGACGAACAGCCAGGATCAACCCCATCTGACTAGCAACTTGACAAAAACAGTCCTTCGGATGGGAGGAGGTATATCATGTTGCTACCAGGTCATGGAAATAACATGCAATAGCAATAATGGCAGGTAATGGATGGTAATGGTTAATGTTGTATGATGTCCAAACTATCGATGTTGTTTTGACGTCATCGAGTCATCCCTCAATGATAGATCGTGGTTGATATATAGGTGACCCCCATCGTTGGCAGTTCTGGCCTCGGCAAACACCGCAGTGTCTGCACTGGGCGAACATGACCCCCCTTCCCGTTTAAGACATCACATCTGTAGAAAGCACATCTTCTCTCTCTGGGCCTCTCTTCCTTACCCAGAGCATCCAGCGGGCTTTCAACAAATAACGAAACTGCAATCATTTGGAATGTTGTTCCACCACTTTGCAGGAAAATAACGCTTCTCGCCTGTACCCACCTGGTCGGTTGTTGCTATGTTAGGAACCAAGTACAGTGACAAGTACGAGGAGGTCCCCTTTTAAAATGAACCAGTGCTGAATTGTGTGCGTTCCATATCCAAACCACTCAGAACTGTGACACCATCGGCGCATCGGACCTTGGCGATTGCATCCGCTGCACTGTGGGGCGTCCTGTGGGGCGTCAACCGCCGTTGAACGGTTTGAACAACACAACGATGTGAGAGTGGCGTACCAGTTTGCTGAAGCGTTCTATATAATTATACCTAACCTGCTTGGTGCTTGCAGTGCTGGCCTCAACGGCACGGCCGCGTCTGGTTACAACATCTGGAGGCCCCAAAGTGTGCAGCTGGAGAGCTTCAGGAACGCCGAAAACAACCGACTTACTGGCTAATTCAATCCGGCACGTCTCAAACCATCCCCATAGACTCAGACTCTATGGAATACTTGCCTACTTGGACCCTCAAACCAATTCCATGTAGGTACACCTGCCGCCGTTCGTTCCTCAAACCCGTTCCACTGAGGCTCGGCGCGACGGTGGTGCGGCCTCCTTTCCGGCTGCGCGGGCTCACCGAGCGGTTGGGCACTTCAGCCTCCGGCCGGCCTGGGAGGGGCATGGAGTGATATGGAGTGCCGTCCTTCCCAAGTCCAAGAATTGAACCCACAAGCAGGGCATCATCTGCAGATCATGTTATGTGGATATATGTGGTATTGTCTTAGACGGCTGTGATTGATTTTCTTCGAGAAGAAAAAAGGATGCACCCAACCTGCCCAAGCAACACCAGCGAAAATCCTACTTATAATATCCTATCCCCTAAAGTTTGGAAGGATGGCACGCGCCACGTGGGATAGGAATGGATGGAATGACCTCTCAGGTCAGCTCAAGCAACTGGGAGATCCAAAGCTCTGCAACAACCACCTCATTGCTTCAAGGTTTCTCTCGATGACTCTTTTGGACCGCAAACTGGGAGAAGTGATCACCCACCACTCAAAAGGAAGGAGTGACCCA